GTTCAAGTTGATAATAACTTTAGGAGTTCAGCATCCTTAGCGTCCTCGCACTCACACGCTCACACATGACGTATCTTTGCTTATAGTGCAGAAACAGAGCATGGAGGGGTTGTGGCAGGACCAAGGCCAGACAAACCTGTCTTCATCTCCTACGCTCCCTGCTTGCACTTAAGTGATCGTAACATTAAGTAAATCATTACCTATTAAATGATGTAGACATAGAGCGAAGCAGGGAGTCTACAGTCTCTGTCTGCTGTCCCTCCTCCCTGAAATTTAAGCTGGTCTCCTAGCTTTTTTTCTGCTCCACCTTATGCCCCACTAATCTCTTTCCTATACTCGTCCCTTAAGTATTTCCACTTTGATGAGCAAAGTTCATCTACAATTAGATAAGTGACAATATGTAAAAGGAAGCAGAACTCAACACTATGTTAATAGAGGCTTGACTACATAGCTGATAACATGCTCACAATGGGTGTTAAAACACTCACCAGCAACATTCAGTGTCCGACCTATCTGCTCCCAGAAATGGGCTTTTCTGTCTTTGTTGTTTTTTCTGTAAACATATAATAAAGCTGAGGATAGACACAGCCAGAACAAGCTACTGCTCCATCGTCTTGGTTACCAGGGTGACGAGTCCCACTTCATGTAATATATGATTGGTTGAGTCTTTCTCCTATCTTTCTTAAAAGATCCAAAATTGTCAACTAGAAGCACTCAGTGCTGCTGCATACGCTCTCTCCTCATTGGGAACAACTGAAAAACCACTGACAAAAAAGCTGTCAGGCCCTAATAAACCCAAATAAAATGCATTTTAATGCTGACAGAAATATAAATGCACTCATTTTGGCAGACCAAAAAACACCCATGAGCCATTAATGCAACCTTTTCCTGACAGCTGATATGTTCATCATAGTTTCCTATATAATTCTGTGAGCCCAAGAATAATTAATTAAATAATACGTACCATCAAATTATGATAGAACCCTCTCTCTTATCTAAAAAAAATAAAAATGCAGCAGAAGAGTGAGGGAGCAACAACTGTTGGTGGTGTGACCTCGTGGCTACGTATTATAGGAGGGAACACCAAGAGAGAACCTACCGTGACGTCACCTATTGGTTTGTGGAGTACCGTACTGAAACTGGGTCTGGCATTGTCTCCATGTTAGCTTTCTGCAGCCAGCAGAGGTGACGTACAGAGAGTTGAGCTCGTAAGCTTAGCTTAGTTTTCACTCGTCTTTAGCAGGAAACAGTGTCAGCTCTCCTGGTCACACACATTCTCATATTACAGATAAACAGTACTAAAATATGTTTCAGAAACTATTTTAGGCAAGAAATAGGCAATGCAGTAAGGAGTAAAGAACCCTGATTCATATTTGATCAGTCCTGCCTAGTTTGACAGTTTGACTTTAGTTTGGTGCGTTGAGCTGGACGGACTCACTGAGAATGTGTAATAAAAAAAAACGTGTAAAAAAAAAAAAACATAAGGCAGCCACACCCTAAAGCATACCCTG